GCCACTTAGCCACATGTAGCTATAGTTAAATTTAAGTGCAATTTAAAAACCAGCTCTTTTGTTGCACTGACCATTAGACTTAGTCCACAATAGCCATGTGGGGCCAGTGGCTACATATTGGACAATGCAGACAGAACATCTCCATCATTTCAGAAAGTTCTAGAGGACAGCACTGTTTTAGAGAAACCATACTTTTTGTTCCTCCATATCAGTCTCTCTGTTCCTTTATCAGCTTTAAATATTACCATTTCAAGCCTTATTTGACAAGCCAAAAAGGGAGTCTCCATTTAATTCATAATTGTTTCTAGTTAGGCTCACCATTTTTGTTAGTAATTGTATTTACCTGTGAATTCTCATTTGCTAGTCGTGATGTTTTTCTTATAGATCTAGATACCCTAGGACAGGGGTGGGCAACCCCTGGCACGAGTGCCAAACATGGCACGCCAGTAACTTTTGCTGGCACGCGAAACCCTCTCTTATAATCTTCCACTTACAATTTTTTTTCTTAATATCACAAAAAGGTTGCCCACCCCTGTACTAGGCACAGGGTACTGTGGAGTCCCTGGCAGGAGTACAGGCTGGGGGGAAAGAGGGGAAAAGGCAGGTTAGCATGGGCACATACTAAGATGTAGGGACGCGGCCCCAGCCACTATAACAAAGTAAATAGCTAGGAGACCAAACAGAAACCCCCAGAACCCCAGAGGAATGAAAAAGAGGAAGGAAGACTACAGAAAACCACAGCAGGACAACTGTCACCGTCATTTGGAAAGGATATTTCCACATTTTTCCAGTAGAGGTGTCATATGCTCCAGTGTGGGGCATGGCCACAGAGGTGAGACCATGACACACAGCTCCTAGGGTAGGGTGGGCAACCTTTTTGTGAGTGCATGCCAAAACCAGCAAAATCTCTGACTCAAATTTCTTCTGCATGCCAACCCTAATTTTTTGAGAACATGTTACGCCTACTTGATATCTCTTAAGGTATACGTACGTGAAGAACCTTGAAGAAATAATAAAATCCATTCGAGTGACAAAAACACAGTATATGATGATGAAAAATACATTTATTTTTTAATGTATACATGTACACTGATAGTCTGACAGAAAACTTTATGACTCCGTTTGATATTATCAGTGGGACTTTTGCTGCTGCATCACTGATGACAGAGATTTTACATCAGGTTTATATTTCGTGACCTTCAGAGATATGCACGAGCTACTACTTTCATCCGTCAGGCTACTCCTATTATGAGACTTAACAAAATTCATCACTGAGAACAAAGATTCACAAGTGTATGTGGATGAAAACATGGAGAGTAACGCTGTTGCAAAGTTTTTTAAACAGAAAAAATTTTCTGGATTGACATTCCAAGTCCTCAATAGTTCGTTTTCGACACTATTGAAATTGCTCTTCCCCTCTCTCGTCAATTCATGTTTATGGTCTTTAAGATAACTTGTTATATAAAATTATTTATTTATCTAAGATGCACCTACACTGAATTTATCTGAAAAATAAAAAAGTCGATATTAAGAAAAAGAAATTGTAAGTGGAAGATTATAAGAGAGGGTTTCACGTGCCAGCAAAAGTTACTGGCGTGCCATGTTTGGCACGCATGCCCGGGGTTGCCCACCCCTGGCCTAGTACCTTTTGAACACTGTTTAATGAAATACTACACATTTGAGAAGGGCAGAAAGAAAAAGCAAGAAAAATAAAGCTAATTTTATTTTTAATGGAACTTTTGGTTTTAGCAGAGCCTAGTGAAGTTTAAATATTTGCTCCCCAACATGGTTCTGCAAGGTATTCATAATTTATTTCACAATTTTCCCTTCCTTGGTTGACAACTGTGAAATAGGGAATCAAGCGCTATCAAATGTGACTGCGAATAATGTGTGAGGCAAGCAAGTATCCATGCTGCAGTCCCTTCTCTTGCTCTGCCTTGATCCTGAGCAATAATAAAAACAATTGCACAGAAACATTTAGGGATGTGGGAGGTGCTTTATTTACCCTCAAGAAAGGGTCCTTGATTGGTGCTCCCCTATGTGCCTCGGGTGGGGGCCTTGCAGAAACCTTCAGAGCCCATGGCCTTAAAATGTTGCCCAAATTTAGTTGAGAGCAAACTACCTTCAGTAGGCAAAGTAGGTTGAATGCTGGATAAAATATCCCTTGCTTTATCCCCAGTGAGGCCAACACTGATATTATGAGCTAAAGTTGACCTAGAAAACACATTTGTGAGCATTTCCCTTCCTCTTCAATGATAATAAAAATGGACATGTGTAACTAATTAAGATGGGAGTTGAGGCCAATGGGCATATTGGGCATCTAGTGCCACCTTGTGGTGACACATGCAAATCCTGGGCCCTTTCAAGGACGCCAAGATTTTCAAAAGGACAGCCCTCTTGAAGAGGAGTTTGGATTTAATGACAATCATGGGAGAGGTCGTTTTCTTGGAGAACACAAACTAACAGAAATCACTAGCACTGGCTTGGCACTTTGTAGTAAATAAAGCACTCCCCCGTGATTTAATGTTGGCAGCAGCCCTGTGCTGTAGGTAGTAGGATCTCAGCCTCAGAGATGTGGAGACTAAGGCTTAGAGAAGTTGGAGACCTGAATTAGGCAAGTCCTAACCATACTCCCAATTCTATCATTTATTAATATTATTGTACTATATCACACAGTACATATAAAAAACTCACAAGGAATGCATAGCACTATATAGTATAGGGTATATACTGTGTGGTATAATACATAGCCTAGACCACTGGTTCTCAACCTTCCTAATGCCACGACCCTTTAATACAGTTCCTAATGTTGTGGTGACCCCCAATTTCATTGTTACAAATTGAACATAATTAAAGCATAGTGATTAATCACAAAAACAATTATATATGTTTTTATATATGTAATTATATATGTTTTCCGATGGTCTTAGGCGACCCCTGTGAAAGGGTCGTTCGACCCCAAAGGGGTTGCGACCCACAGGTTGAGAACCGCTGGCCTAGACTATATGGAGTATATACTACATAATATATATCAATGATGGCGAACCTTTTGAGCTCGGTGTGTCAGCATTTTGAAAAACCCTAACTTAACTCTGGTGCCGTGTCACATATAGAAATTTTTTGATATTTGCAACCATAGTAAAACAAAGATTTATATTTTTGATATTTATTTTATATATTTAAATGCCATTTAACAAAGAAAAATCAACCAAAAAAATGAGTTCGCGTGTCACCTCTGACACGTGTGTCATAGGTTCACCATCACTGATATATATGGTACTCGAGTACTTATGCTATTTTCTTTTTTTTTGTTTGTTTTTAATCCTCACCTGAGGATATTTTACCATTGATTTTTAGAGAGAGTGGGAGAGGGAAAGAGAAATATCGATGTGAGAGAAACACATCGATTGGTTGCCTCCTGCACGAGCCCTGACCAGGGCCTAGGCCAGGGAAGAGCCTACAACCGAGGTGCATGCCCTTGACCGGAATCAAACCCAGGACCCTTCTGTCTGCAGGCCGACGCTCTATCCACTGAGCCAACCCAGCTAGGGCTATGCTATTTTCTATAGTACTGCTAAGCAGCACCTACTTCCTTCCTGGGGCTGTTTTCTGTCTGTAAAGACTTTCACTCTGTAAGGCCCATGAGCATCTACCCTATAGGCCCATCTTTACAAGTTGATTTCAAAGAAAAAAAACACTGCAAAGGACAGACTCTGTACTATGATCAGTTTTGCTCTCACCTAGTGTAGCCATCTTCCAGCCTTCAAAAGAAGGGGAGAGAATATATAAAGCAACAGGCCAGCCAGAGAAGATAGGAGTTCCTCTTGTTTCCCGCGCTCCTAGGCCTCTCCTAGAAAGTCAAGGACAGGTGGCAGTTACAATGTCCAGCAAGCTTCCTGCCTGAGACCCACTGCCAGGAGGACTTATTCCAATTGTGCAGAAAGCTATGACTATTACCCAGCCCTTCCCACTGAGACCCCTCCTCTTCAGATGTGGTTAGGGTTTAAGGCCCTGGATTGCTGCATGTATAGTCCAGTCAATATGCCCAAGACAAATGCTCTCATAAACAGCTTCCCCCAAAAAGTGAAACACAAGGGCTTACAGGATCATCTTTAGTTAGCAGGCCAAAAGAACTTGGGTTATTTTTCATACAGTAAAAGTCATTATATGAGAATGCTTGGGAACAGGTCAGCAGACCAATTTCAGGATTTTCCGCTATTCTACCAAATACTAGCTATGTGATTCTGGCCATGTCAGTCATTTACTTCCTAACCACTATGTCCTCATTTCCCACAGGGAGGTGGGACAGATCATCCACCCTATTTCTGGAGAAACTGCGTTGGGCGGATGAGGGGAGGAGAAGGGCCAAGGTGGTGGCCTTCCCTTCTCTCCCTTGGGGTAGTGTGGCAAAGACCGGCCCAATTATAGAGGTCTTAAGACCTGGCCAGATAGCTCCAGTTGGTCAGAGTGTTGTCCTGATACCCCAAGGTTGTGAGTTTGATTCCTGGTCAGGGCACATACAAGAATCAACCAATGAATGCATAATTAAGTGGAACATCAAATCAATGTCTCTCTCTCTCTCAAATCAATAAATTAAATTTTTAAAAATTAGGCCGGGAGCCACAGTGGGTTCTTGAGACACAGCAAAGTAGCATTTGTGGAACACTGGTCTTGAAGAGACACGAGTGAACTGAAGCGGAGAAAAATGAGCAAATATGAGACACTAAAAAAGAGAAGAACAAACCTTCAGGCTAAAAATACACATGGATGTGTTATTTTGCTCTGTTTGGCCTAATTTGTTCTATGGGGTTGTCGGACACGCTGCGCGTGTCAGACTCACGTGAGTAACATAAGAATAATAAAGATCTCTAAGTGCAAGAGGGCCCTTAAGCTTTCCTACAGGGGTTTTACAGTCAGACAACATGGCTCAATTACACCATAAGACTTCCTTTACTTTTTAGACCTTGCAATTTTATTTGCTTTTGCATTTCTATAATACACACACACACACACACACACACACACACACACATACACGCTCTTTTTTTGTGTTTTTTTACGCGCTACTTTTTAATACAAAAGTTATATGTACTCATTGAAGAAGTTAAGATATAAAAATATAGAAAATAAAAAGAATGACATTAAACATTCCTCTTCAAGGGGAGGCATAAAAGTCAACCTTGTGAAAGAAAGGTCAGGACCTGTGCCCCGGGCCCAGGGTCACAGGAGTTGGGCTCTTTGGAGACTTTCGGAATTTGCTCTGAAGGAAAACTCTTGGCACACACAGACCTTCTTTTTTGTTCACCGTCTCACGAAACACATACTCATTCACCACTTCTTCATAACCCGAGTCCGTAAAGAGCTGAGCCAGGAACTCTGTAAGACAGCAGATCAACAATGCTCGGTGCTGGTGTCACTACCTGTGCTTTGCGGTGGGGTAAGGACTCCCTAAGGGCTGTAGGGTTGAGACAGGTTTTTAAAAATGTAATGAAAACTTCAACATGAAAATGTAAGGTTTTGTTTTGGGAAGTAACACATTCCTACTTTTCTTCATCTTACACCCAAATAGAAACCCCCCCAATAAAAATGTAATCAGAAAAAAAAGTTTAAGGACAACCTGGACTATGCCCACCTTGCCCTATTATGAGTCCCCAAATGCAAAAGTCTGAGTAAAAAGCAGCAAAATTCCAAACTGGCTGTATTAATACAAAGTGTGCATGTGTTCAATTTGTTTAGATCAAGCACCTCACCGATCCTAATATGAAGGAGAAAAATCTGTGACCAGTGTGGGGGAAAGAAATCACCTGGTGGTGATATACCCCACAGAAAGGAAATTTAATCCAAATAACATGTCACTACATGTTAAATGAAACAAATAACACTACAACAAATTTTTAATTTTCAAGTGACATTTTCTATGATTCTGCAGATTGAATGGTAATCATTCATTTTTTGCTTGGAATCCAAAAGAATATTTTATTTCAAGAAATACAAATGTTTGTAAAAAACAGAGCTTAAGAAGGTAATTTATCTTATGGTCCATTATTAAATAGGTTTAAAACTCATGTTCAAAATGCCCAAAAGACTAAAATAACACTTAGTGTTTGGATGTTTTTAATTTAAATATGACTTTTTAAGGAGCCCTCTATAGCAAAATTGTGCATTTAAATACAGATCTAATCACTTTTATAGAAAAATGTTTTTTGTGACCTGGGAGAGCAATCACAAGGCAATATACTGTCCTATTTCCTTTATTGTTGACTGAACAAAGTGAAGAAGACCCTGAGTTGGCCCCCCCTTTCCAGCACAGTTCTGGTAGGGTATCCACATGGCACGCCAGCCTGTCCGTTAACCCAGGTCAACTAGACACCATCACCAGAGGAGGCTTGTGAGCTCACCGCAGCCAGGGGCTGTGTCTATGTCATCCTGGGTTCTAGGTAAGGGGCACGTGTCAGAGAGCTTGGCATGTGTGCTAAGTACAGCCATCCCCATCCCAACCAGTAACACAGTGATAACGCAATCAAGTAAACACAAATAAAGACAGAGTCCAGTAATCTTACCGTCAGTAAAAAAATACGATCTGGTTCCATCTTGTCTAACATAAAAGTTTTCTCCAAGTTTGCTTCCAGCTTTAAACCTAAGCATGGCGTGATCATATAGTCCATAGTCACGAAACAGGACATTTTTGCCTGGTTTCAATACCTACAAATCAAAAGCAGGCTGGATATAATTCTGGGGAACCCAGTCAAATAAAGCTTCATAGAGATGGATTCAAGCTAAAATAAAACCTGATTAATTTAGAGACTAAATTTACATTTATGATAATTAGGAAAGGGGTGAGACTGAAATCCCCATAATATGGAAGGAAAAGGGCCTGCTAATGTAAGGTGCAGCCAGGCCTGGCAGTGTGCCCACGGAGGGACACTTCCTGAGCACTTACAAAAGCATTCTGGAAGGTCCAGTGTCACACAATTAAAATGTTAAAGATATTAAACGAAATAGTCGTATCCTCATGAAGGCATGTTCTTCCAATGTTTTATTAGCCATTTCCTAGCACAGTGGTCGGCAAACTCCAGCCCCGAGCCCACATGAGGCTCTTTGGCCCCTTGAGTGTGGCCCTTCCACAAAATACCGACTTCTGCGCATGGACCACGAAGTTTCAATCGCACTGTACCTGGTATTTTGTGGAAGAGCCACACTCAAGGGGCCAAAGAGCCGTATGTGGCTCGCGAGCCGCAGTTTGCCAACCACTGTCCTAGCACATGACCCTGTAGTCAAACTATCTCTTTTAAAAAAATATGTCATTTTGGCTTTTACTGATTCTGGCTGGCTTTCCTCATTCTGAGTCTCAGCTCTGGTTTCACTGTGCTACAACTATGGACGGCTTCCCCACCATGCTAACACCTGACATATGCCCAGCCCTGTACAGCTTACCCGACATTGTCTCATTGGATCTTCACCCAATTCTGAGAAGAAGGAAGGAGTGTGATTATTATCCTCACGTGAGATGAGGAAACGGACATCAGCAGAGGTAAGTGATTTGCCTACGATCACACATCAGCTACTAAGTGGGGGAGTCAAAAGGCATGTTAGCCCTTGGATGTGTGTGTGTGTGTGTGTGTGTGTGTGTGTGTGTGTAGGGGTGTGGGGGGGTCATTCCAATGCCAGTGACACTACTGACAAGAAAAGAGGGGCTACGAGGGGAGGAGTATTCTTCCCACGCTGTGCTGCACTTCTCAATGTGAGGAGTGGATCAGGCAAGTGCAGGAGTGTAGGGAAGGGGTTCAATGTCCGGCCCAAGTGGGAACCCTCACTAAAGCCTTTCAGAGATAGGCATCACAGGGTGGATGTCTCAAAAATTGGAAGGTAAGATCAGCAGGGAGTGGGTATAACTGCTCCTATCTTACAAAGCAAGTAACCATACGCTTTCAGGATGAAGAGAAAGTGGTACACACTGTAACACTTTTATGTGAAAATTCTTTCAAACTGCGTTAATATTACCAAATTAGAGTGGACTTCAAAGGGGGCACTGATTTTATTAACTCCTACTCTGACCCATCACATCAACAAGGTAATTAAGACATGACATATACTACCTATTATAATAGATATTTGACATAGTTTGATGTATTTCTTCTTTCTGAATAGAATATAAAGTATTGTCCATAATACTTTCAAGTGTGCTAGCAGATTCTCTCATTTAGTAATTTCTTATCAATACTAGCATGCATTTTAACTATTGTCAGTAAAGAGGCTCTTGGATAAAAACATTCTTACCTTGGTCAAAAATGCTAAGTTTTAAAATGTGAACAATTGAGAGGGAAAAATTCTGAAAAAATTAGCTCATATGAGAAAGACTTCTTCTCCATTTCAGAAGAAAGGAATGCTATATGGGACTGTGGAAAAAGCACTCACTCAGGAATTTGAAAATCTTGATTCATATTGTAGTTCTTCCATTAACTAGTTGAATGACCTTGAGCAAGTAATTTCATGCCTCTGTGTATGTTTTCTCTTCTGTAAAATAATAATTATGATACTCATGCCTCCTTTAGTCACGGCACTGTATAGTTACACCAGGCATTTCCCAATGTTAGGTTCTTTTACTCCCCCAATAACTCCGAGAAGTGGGTAGGTTAGGTCTATTATACCCACTTTACAGTAACTTAGGCTCAGAGTAAAATGATTTGCCTGAGTTTTCAAGGCAAGTTGGTGGCACAGGTAGAACAAAATCCAAATCTTCCAATGACAAATTTGGTCTACTTTTACTTCACCATTATATTCCGAAAATGAGGTAATTCAACTTAAAGGTTTTCTTTCAGTATAAAATTATGTGGTTTTTAAAATTTCTCCGGTGTTAACATCCTGGAGTAATTATATCTACCTTACAATAGCTTTTGTAATTCTTTTAATATATATATTTTTAATTTTATTTTAATATATTCTTAATTAGATGATTATATTATCAGAAAGTAGTAAGTTTTGTTTCTTTCTCATCCTCAAATCTTGTCTTGTCTTTTTGTGCTGACTAGGACCTCTGCATAATGATGGGAAGTATTGGTAGTGGGCACCCTCAGCCCCATAAAGTTCCTGATATTCCATATTCTGCCCTAACTGCTACCTAACACCTGAAGCCTTCATCAGTGAAATCACCAGTATCCGCAACCTCTTCTGAATGTTCTCTTCATTCTTGTGCTCACAGAAACCTCAGTCCCCATGACACTTTTCTCTGCAACCTCTCGAGTCATGGCTGTGTTTTCTCCCACTACCCTGTACCACTGGGCTGGGAGACCTAGCTGGTTTCCTCCCTTGCTCCTCATTGCTATTTTCTGTGCATTCTCCTTCCTCCTCCCTGAAACCCCCAGCTCTGAATCTCTTGTCATCAGACTATATCACCTATATCCCTTAATGATACCAATGTCTATTCGTTCCATGGTCATATCCCTTCATTTCATGGCAAATAGATCTTTGGATTTACTCTCTTATTCTCAATACTATTCCATTCTTAATTCTGGTCAATTCAATACACATGTGCATTATCCTTCCAAATATGCTGGCTTCTTAACGATTTGAGCTTCTCTTTCAAAGATCGTGTCCTCCACCCTGCTTAACCCATTCACTCATAATGTCCTAAAGTTTTGTCAGCACTAAAGTGTATAACCTCCCCATATTCTCAAAGTCATCCAGGTCATTCGCTGACCATCCCCACCATCTTAGTTCCCTCTCTAGTTCCCCATCTTTAATAATCCTTCACCCTCATCCGGACCTTCAAATCAGGTGGTCCTACTATCTCTTCCCTACTGTCCTCTCCTCCCTGTTTACCGAGCTTAAGTTCCATGCCCATTTATTGGTATGTGCTGGGTTCCCATCTGCTCAGATACCAGGAACGGGGAAAGGAAAAGTTAAGGAGAAAAAAAACAAAACCACCTTACAAAACCTCAGAGGGCTAAAACCAAGGTGGCAATATCTGAATTTTTTTTTTAAATATTGTTTTAAGTGCAAATAATTATTCCCTAACAGGTTTCAAGTGTCTTAAAATTTCTACCTCACTACTACTCTTTTAAAACAACTAAAATCAGGGTAAAACTTTAATGTATAACTAGCTCTGAATACACAAATGCTGTCATACCTAGCATCTACCTTTCAACTTGCTGAATGCTCTCCTCTCCCTTTGTAGAGCAGATCGACTGAAGCCCAGGACTCACTGAATAGGTGAGGCTTACAGGCTTTAGATCATGCACACTTGTACTTTAGTGTCCCCAGGTGAGCTGGCTGCAGAATTACCACTGGTCACTTGTGTTTGTTCCCAAACTTGTTTGTGCTGATTGTACTTAGATTTATAATTATACTAGAGGCCCGGCGCACAATATTCATGCACAGGTAGGGTCCCTAGGCCTGGCCTGCAATCAGGGCCATCTTCTCTGGCTGCCGGCAGCTGGCCTCGCCTCTTGCCCTCTGTGTGTAGGGCAACTGGTGGGGCGATCGGGGCCCCGGCACCGCCCTCGTTCGTTCACCGCCGCCCACCTCTGGCTCCCCGTTCCCCATAGGGCGATCCGGGCCTGCAGGCTGGGGGCAGCTCCTGCATTGAGCATTTGCCCCCTGGTGGTTAGTACGCATCATAGCTGTGTGGTCGATTTGCACATTACGCCTTTATATATATAGGTATGAGTATATAAACAATCTATATATATAAAAGCCTAAGCAGCCTTCCAACCGTCCGACCGGTAGCTATGATGTGCAATGACCATAGAGGGCAGATGCTCTGACCAGTAGCTATGACACTCACTGACCACCAGGGGGCAAACACTCAAAGCAGGAGCTGCCGAACTGCAGTGACTTAGCAGCTGCAGTTCTCCAGTAACGCACCTGAAACCAGAGAGGAGGGTGCCCGATTCCGAGGTGTGTCACCCGAGAACTGCCCTCTTGCAATCCGGGACCCCTCGGGGGATGTCAGAGAGCCAGTTTCGGCCCGATCCCCACAGGCCAGGTTGAGGGACCTCACCGGTGCATGAATCCATGCACCGGGGCTCTACTGTAATATAAATGTGAATAGAAAGCATTTTTATTTTCTATGAAAAGTACATTGAATACTTCGGGAAGATTTGATAAAGAAGTACTGAACAAATGGCTATTTGATTGGGTGTGTGAGAGTCAACTGTGAAAGTCTGGGTAAGAATGTAAGAGACTCTGTTCCAGATTCCTTTCCAATTGCTTTTAAGTTCTTGATCCATTTTTAAAGAAACCAAACTCTATTTTATGTGTGGCTCATGTAAGAAAGACAATAAATGGTCCCAAACTCAAAGAAAAGGCCTTGGCTCTACATCTAAAGAGTGACAAATGAATATTAATATATTTTAAGTTACAATAACATGTTTAACCCTTTTCGGTCCACGACCAGGCGCTAGGAGCAGGTCTAACATCACTGAGACACCGCAAACCGGTTCAACATTCACTCCCATCAATTAATTTGGACCAGACTGTTTGAATTCCAAAAATAAAATTGGACCGCAAAGGGTTAAAGTAAGAATTTGCCATTTTTAGAATTTCTTGATTTTGTTGATTTTTTAAATTAATCAACATCATTACCAATTGACTGTATAGATAAGAGAGCCTTGTTTACAAAGTACCCTCACACATAATCTCACCTGCACCTCATGATAACTCTGTGAGACACCGTTTTACAGATAAGGAAACTGAGGCCTAGGGAAGGGAGATGAGATGGTTTACCTTCAGTCGTATGACTTACACGTGAAGCTTTACTTCCTGAGTACTGAGGCTCCTGGTGGCCATAGGACTTTGGGTTCTCCCCATATGAATAGCAATGATGGCAGTAACAACAACAATGGCCGACTTTTAAAGAACACTTACTATGTTCTAGACATCATGCTAAGCACTTTATGCATATTTCATATATTCTCACCCAATCCCAATATCTAGGAAGTATTATCTCAACATTTCTACAGGTAATAAAATTGAGGCTCAGAGAAATAAAGGAACTTACCTAAATAGGGAAGCCATATTTTGACTCTAGACACTGTGACTCCTGACTGTGTGCTCCTGATCAATGAACCACATTTCCTCTCACTTTACAGCAGGACTCCCTAGATCCCAGGTAAAAATCATCCTTGCTCCAAGGCTGGCCAAGCTCTGAAGAGCAGTGATGGCCACCAGACAAATCGAAGTTTAGGGTGGATGTTTTTTCACGCAGAATCCCTTTCCATACACAGCCTACCTAATGAGAATGGGGGCTCTTCAATCTAGACGGTACATGAGCCTCAGAGAGAAGGTAAGCAAGAAGACTGGGATGTCCAACTCCTCAAGTGCAGACTCCAAATCACTAACCTTGTAAATGTTTTGTAAGACAAGGTGCATCTTATCAGGGTGAACAGCAGAGAGCACAAATATCAACAGGACAACATCCACAGACTCGGGGGGCACATGTTCCATAAGGTCATCTTTAGTTAGATCGCACTGGAATACCTTGCATCTTTCTGTGTCATATAAAGGATTTTGCTAAAGAGAGGAAAAACACAAAAGAATTTTAATGCCATTTCCATGTTGATACATATAGAAAAATACAGCCTCAAAAGGAGATCCTGTTTCCACTTGTATACTACTGCACAGAGATCACTGATCATTTTGTTATAGGTAAAACGAGTAATGAACCATTTGCACATTAAAGAATGGAATATGCAATATGAGGGGCAAGATTTCCTTTTAACAAATCATTTTTAATTGAGGACAGAATACAGCCTATCACATATTCCAAATACTTCCAGAGGGATAATAATCCAAAACTGGTCTCTGCTTCCTTAATCCTCCTTTGAATGAATCATCAACTACAAAACTAAACTTACAAGAAGTCTTTCCAGCTCCCACAGTTCTCCTGGGTATATTAAACCTTGATGCAGCAAGCTAAATAAACCTAAGTTCTTTTATTATAAATGTGTTCCTGGTGCACTTTGGTTGGTGGGTTTGACGCTTTTATAAGCGCATTATAAAGAAAAATATAAAACTTTGCTTTAATGTAAATAAGGGCCTGAATAAAGAGAAAGACATAGAAAGTTACTGAATGGGAAGATTCAATATTGAAAAGATGCCAACTCTACCTATCATTCCACTTACAAATCCAGTGCAATCTCTACTGAATCCTAGTAAGTTTCTAGAAACTTGACAAGGTAAATTTGATTAATCTGGAAGTGAAAATCTTTAGGAATAGCCAAGTCAACTTTTAAAAATGAAGAATAATGAAGAAGAAGTGTAGTACTAACATAATGTGGTTTGAGAATGGGAACAAATAGAGACTGGGAAAGAGGAATAAGTTAAACAATGATACAAAGAAACATTTTGGAATGTGGGACCTCATTACAGAAAATGGCTCATTTTCCAAAAGCTCAATGTTAGTGTGGAAAAGGGTCAATGGGAAGGGCAGGAATATTTTAGGCTAAGGAGACTTAAGGTACATAATGAAATATAAGATGTAGTCCTTGATGAAATATAGCTATAAAAAACACCTGGGACTATCTGGGGACATCTGAATCTGGATTGGGTATTAATGACATTAGGGGATTAGAGTTATTTTTATTATATATGTGTTTTGTGGTCATATAGAGAAAATCCTTATTGAAGATGTATGCAAACATGTTTAACAGTGAAATATTTGTAATTTAAAACAGTTCACACACAAAAAAGTCTATAAAACAAATTCAACAAAATGCTGGCAATCATTAAACTTGGTATAAGCAGTCTGGCTCATGTTGCTCAGTGGTTGAGCGTCGACCTATGAACCAAGAGGTCCCCAGTTCGATTCTTGGTCAGGGCACAGAGCCAGGTTGTGGGCTTCATCCCCAGTAGGAGGCAGCCAATCAATGTTTCTCTCTCATCAATGTTTCTCTCTATTCCTCTCCCTTTCTCTTTCTCTAAAATCAATAAAAAGATATTTTTTAAAAATTTGGTATAAGTATATGGGTGTCGTTATGGTATTTCTTTATACTTTTCTGAATAAAGCTATCTTTCTATAAGTATTATATATGTATGTAAATGGAAAACTACATTTTTTATTATCATAGCTGCTCAACTTCAGGGAGAGAACAGAAATTGGGCAAATGGGTATAAAGGGCAGGTTAAACAAATTTAAAAAACCAGAAACATAAGAGAATACATGGATGGTGCACCAACCTGGACATATTCAACTGCTCTTGGAGAAAAATCACAGGCATAAGCAAAGATATTCAGATCTTCTTCTAAAAGTGGGAATAGACAGTTCCCAACCCCACAGCCAGCTTCAAGTATAGTCAATTTTTGATCTTCAAACTGAGGAAAGAGAACCCAAAGTTAGAGTACACTACGTTTGCATAATGAAGAAATAAACCAAACTAAAAGGTCCAGAACATGTAAGACAAGGTCTCTGCCCTCAGAGGCAATAAATAACTGATAACCCAAAGCTAATACTGACATCTCAATTTGTCGTCCCACATTGGGCAGTTCGGTGTGGAGAAAACACAGCATTAACAGCTCAATCCAGACTTCTCCCCTCACGTCTGTTTTCTATCGTTGGACAAATCAGTTAAATGGCTTTGTCCCTAATGTCATCAGTAAGTGGGGTTAACACTAATGCCTGCTTCACAGTGCTATTACAAGGCTTAAATCACAGATGTGAAGTTCTAGAAAAGGGCATGGTCAAGTGAGCATCATCATTATGAATCTGTCACTGAAGTTCTTCAGTATGAATTTAACATTTACAACTTTCAGGTTAGCTTTAAAGAAACAAAAATGCCCACTAAAGCTCTCTCCTGTGTATTATACAACCCAGGAGCTGCTAAAACTACTTGAAATCAGTCTACTTCTTTCTAAGGTATAAAGTATTCTGACAGGCTTCATAAATTATGCGAAGAATGTTTTACACGGAGACAGTGTTCAGAACTCTCTAGCTTTCCTTAGTCTCCGTGGATCTTCCCTGTGCCTGGCTGAGGCCACAGAGAGAGATCCCAAGGCAAGCTGAGCCTTTATTTTATAGTGAGAGGTAAACAAGGTAGTGGTTTCTATAGTTACACAGTTCTTGTGAGTTTCACTTGTTTTGACCATAGTTACACTTCCTGCACTTCCCTCAGCCCATTAGCTTCCCAGATAAGATCTAGAGAGCCTCATAAGGTCAAGCCTAATTATGCTAAGAGGACTGTGCCCTCTAAGCTGGGAATTGTTTGTGACTTTGCCCACAGGTCAGTCTGAGGCTTAACCCTGTATCAGCTCCCCACAGAAATCAGTCTACTTCTTTCTAAGGTATAAAGTATTCTGACAGGCTTCATAAATTATGTACCTCACTTCCATAAAAATGCAACAAAGCACTCTTTTTCTTCACCTTTTAAATGAAGAACATTTAAAAATGTTCTAAGTGATGCGTACTAACCACCAGGGGGCAGATGCTCAATGCAGCCACTCCGTCCTGGCTGGTGTGGCTTGGTTGGAACATCATCCCGTCCATGGAAAGATGGCCGGTTCAATTCCCAGTCAGGGCACATACCCAGGTAGTGGGGTTAGAGTCCCAGTCAGGGCACATTCAGGAAGCAACGGGTGGCCGTTTCTCTCTCTCCCTTCCTCTCTCTAAAATCAATTTTTAAAAAATTTTAAATAAAGAAACAACAGCTCAAATAAGGTGTAGCATTACCTCCCTACATGATCTGAGCTCCTCAAACTCTCTGGTGGTCCAGTGTCTGTCTTTGAAGAAATTAGTACTATTTCTTTTGTAAAAAAGATCCCAGTTCTTCTGAGCCTCTTTTTCCAGTTTTTGTTGTTTAAAATCAGACACTAAAGTTTGGTCCCTTTTCAGTTTCTCCTCTTCTTCGGAGCTGAGGATCCTTGCTGGCAGCCCCTTCCTTTGCAAAGATGCCATCTCATCAGCTGGTGGTAACACAGTTAATCCTGCCGAAGACTCTCCATCCCTGAATAACATGCGGAATCCAAGCTGACTCTGCAGACATAGGCAGGGTGTTCTCAGATGTGGTTCCTCAGGTTCAAGGCTCAGGGGACATTCCTATTTTGCAGGGAAAAGAATGAGATTCTGGTTAGGGGTTCCAGGACAGTTCTTTAAGAGGCCAAGTCTGCGGTTCTAGCACAGATCTTTCACCAAACTGCCCAGTTCACCACACATTTACCAGTGCTGACTCCACATGAAACCCTGCCTGCCATAGAGAGGTCACATAGAAGCTAAGACAAAGTCCCCACCATCAGAGGGCTTACATTTATGCCAGAGGCCGGTCCATCTTGTTGCTTGACACAGTTGCTACAGGGAAGAAACATCTGCACAGCATATGTTTCAAGGGACCTGGAGTATACGGCATACTGTTCTTAATGTTTGCTCCCCTTCTTAGCGCTATGTGTTCTAACCAAAGCCACCTCCCCGAGAAAGGTTGTTTCCCCAGGTGGGGATTTTTCCCTGGAGTTAGGGATTAACAGGACTAAGGAAGGGAAAAAATCAGTAAAACCCCTTAACTAAGTGCCACTCGGGTAGTTAATCACCTTAACTACGAACAATCACGCTTAAACTACGTAATCTTTACTTAGAATAATCTCCTTCAGTTACTTTCTTGTAGTTTAACAGAACAGTAGAGTAGTGACCTTCGAATGGAGATAACTAGCCCTAACCTTTGGAATAGAATGGATAGGATTAAACTCAACAGAACTAGATGGAGATGGGATTTTTGGCAAAGGTCAGATAAGAAACTATGGACATGAAACAAGGAACTGTAGAAGGTCAAGGGAGGACCCAAAACATACCATGATGTGATTATAGAGGCATGCTTATAGGATCAAATGGTAGAAATACAGATGTAACAGGAGAATAAAGAGAAAACCTGGCTATGCTGATCAACTGAAGGCTGTCTCTGAGTCATTCCTTCTTTACCGACTCCGTCCACACCTTTGGGAACCCCTGGACCTGATGGGGCTGGACCCCAACACATTTAGGGGCGCAGGGCTCGCACGCGCAGAACGCTAACTCAAACCAGAATAACTCCTCTATTAAAATAAATCGGTTTCGTTCAGAAAAAGGACACTCCCAAGAACTGACTGAGAAACACTGGAGAGAAAATACTCATTAATTTTTGGGGTGACTTAAGGAGTGACTTAACAACGACCGCATCAGCTCCCCGATTGGATGCGGGTGGTCAATTGCCGGACAGAAGTGGGATCATCGTTTCCCAAGGATCGGACACTCGGTGTTTTCGGGGAAGACAGAGCTACGCCCGGGGGGCCTGAGTCTCTCGTCGCACTCACAAGATCTCTCACAACCAGGGACAGGCCCTCGCACCGCCAACACGGCACGAAGGGGAGGGAGAGAACGAGTGAGTCGCGGCATAGGATTCCGAGAACCCATCTGTCTCATGAGACTCGAGATCAACTAGGCGGACCCGGCCGCTAGGGCCTGCGGAGAGCCGGTCACACTGGCTGTCAGACCCGCGTGGATCTAGCCCGCGGCGCTCTGGGCTCACCGTCATCAGTTTCTAGCTTCACCTGGAGGGGCAGGGCCGGGCGCACTCAGCCCTCAGCCAGGCCCAGGCCTCGGAAACAGAGTTTGGGAGCCGCCGCGAAAAAACCCTGAGCCTGGACAAACCGGCGTCGAGGACCGCAGAATCCCGGCGGAATTCTATTGCCATGGCACCGCCTCCGCCACTTCCGCCACGAACCCGGAAGTACCTCCCCGACGCAGGAAGTCCCTTGGCCTTGCTTCCGCAGAGGCTTCCCCCAACCCGACGCGGAGGAGACTTGCTTCCGGCCCCGGGTGGGCGCCGGTTGGAATCGCGGTGCGCTGCGGAGCGGTGTCTCGGGAGCACCGCTCTCCAGGACGCCGGCGCCGGAAGCTCGTACGGTGGCCGCGCCGGCAGAGCGCCGGTCCGGGCGCGAGCCCCGTGCGGGGCCATGAACGGGACCGCGAACCCGCTGCTGGACCGCGAGGAACACTGCCTGCGGCTCGGGGAGAGCTTCGAAAAGCGACCGCGAGCCTCCTTCCACACCATTCGCTGTAAGTCGGCGCTCCCACGGCTCCTTTCGGCCGCCTCTCGCCAACCTTGGCCTCCAAAGTCCGGGGAATCCCCTGCCTACGTCAGCTCCCTCCTCTCTTACCCCGGAACCCCCGGGACCTCGATTTTCTCCCTTCTCCCTCCCGTCCCTCACCAGCTAAGCCTTCCCAAACCAAACCCGTCGTCACTCCCAACCATTCTTGTCTCGTGGCCCCAAACGCTTCTTCCGAAGCGCATTGACCTCTTTCTCTTTTTTTCTTTCTTTCTCTTTTCATCGCTCCAGCCAGCCCTTCCTTTATGCCAGACCTTCCCCTCTTCACTGCCGAAAGGCTGTGGCCCCACATCAGACTCCAGTTCTTCCTCGAATCCACCCCCCTTGCTGATTACCCACCCGAGTTCTCCGCGTTTAAAGGACTCCTCAGCCTCCCACTCCCTCCTGTTTCATTCTCTTTCCCCCGTTTTCCCCGGCTCTCCCCTCGCCCGTCTTTGCCCTGAGACACTGCGCTTCATTCCCTCTGGCCTCCAAATAATGCGCATCCTCTCTGCGCCCTGTCAGTGTCTTCCTCCCGCGGCTCTCCGCACCTCCCTTGACATTGATGTCTTTTGAGGTCACCTATACTTTCCTGACTTTAACTCAGGATCAAGTCCCTTGTAGGTGCAGAATAAAATTAGAATGTGTGCGCCTGGAATAAGTTAAAACTTGATCTATGCTTGGAAGCACAAGACAGCAGGCCTAGAAAATGTCGAAATAGTCATTATGCTGGACCATCCTTTTCTACCAGATTACAGACTCTGTTGAGGGAGGGCACGCCCACTCCTTCCCATGTCCTGGGTAAAGATTTGGCTTTTAGGTAAATGGCTGACTGAGCCTCCCTCTGTGATTCACAAGCCCCTGGTTTCCTGTCTCGGTGATGCTAATGCTGGTTAAGACTTGTTTTTGTCTAAGGAGCTAATAGATGTGACTCAACACATAGGAAAAGGGTGTGTCAGTTAATGAAGGTCTATCTTTGTGTGGTCACTTGCAGGCCATTACTATGCTAACTACTGACAGCAGAGCAGCCCTCTCAGAGGGAGGATATTGGGGATGTGATAAGAACAGCATCTCTTGAGCAGTTTGCTAAGTTGCTTTAGTAGAGTGAAGGGCAATGTGAAATTTAAATGAGACGCTTCTCATATGCACCTGGCCTGCAGTTTGAGGCGGGCGTGTGTTAACGTGGAGTGAGATGGCTTCCTGTTGTACTGCAGCTGCAATTCAGAAGCACGGACAGGATTAACCTTTAGAGATCAAGTTCAGCCGTCTACTCCGAACGTCTGCAGGAGTCTCTATGTTAAAGCTGTGGAACTTGAGTGTGGCAAATCATAATTTTGACAGTTCCTATGCAAAATGAAATCAGCTTAGATGATGCAGCTTATAAAACCCTATTTCACATAGGGTTTTACAATCACAGAATCTTATTAATATGTTGTTGCTTTTGATCTTCACAACAACTTAACAAAGCGCTTTATAATGATAATAAGCGTTCATTTTCATCTGTCACTGGGGAGAAGGGAATATCTCTGCTTAATAAAATGGTACATAAATTCTAGCTTTTTTTTTCTTCTCTTCAAAATAATCCAGTCAGGGTGGGAGGAAAAGTGTGTAGAGGAATAGATGAAACAAGATTGTCCTGAATTGGTAATTACTGAGGCTGAATAATGATGGTACACAGAGGTTTATTGCACTATTCTCTTTGCTTTTGTACATTAGAAGTTTTTCTAAGAAATAGTTTTTTTAATATTCTAAATTATTTGTATTTCCCATTTATCTGAATAATTCTTAAATGAGAATGCCTAGAAAACCCTTAGTATAAGTAACCTGATGGATAAGTGCTTTTTTCCCCCTTTCCCTTTAGATGATTTTAAGCCAGCATCTATAGACACCTCCTGTGAAGGAGAGCTTCAGGTTGGCAAAGGAGATGAAGTCACAATTACACTGCCACATATCCCTGTAAGTTTATGCCGTTGTTGTTGTTGCTTTAAATGAATTCTCCTATTTTATGTTATTACAATTTGAATTCCCTACTGTTTAAAATGTCAGCATAAGGAAAAAAGAAATTTGGGATATGGGTTTGAGTAGAATGTATCCATCCCAGGTGCTTGATTAAAAATGATTTTTTGCCATTTAACCTAGGCTCCCATTTACTGCAGAGTAGACAAAGACCCTACCTGGATATCTAGCCCCTCTTTTAGTCATGCATAGCTTTTCCCCAAGCAACTCCACAGAGAAAAGCCGTAGGTTCCATGTTAATGTACAGCAACAACAGTTTAGGAGTGTGGAGCTGCCAAGGCAGGAGTCAAGGTGGGCAGAAGCAGGACTTACATCTTTCATGTAATATATCTGGGGTGAAGTGTAGGCTGATAATTTCAGGCAAGAACCAGAGGTTCAGAGCATTCAGCTAATTGAGTGATGAGGACCTCAGTTAAAGGCTGAGTTGAGAACCCTTGCAGAAAGAGACAGGCTTTTATGAGCCTTGCCCAAGGCAGCATTCTGTTCACAAAGTCTGAAGGATTAGACAAAATACTCTTTGTGAACATGTGTCATTGCATGTCACAGCCCTGCCCTGGAACAAATTAGTTCTTGCTCACCAGTGACAGAAGGAAAAGACTCTGGACAAGGAGACCTGGGAAAGTTTGTTTTTGAAAAACTACCTGTGCCAGTTCAAACTGCTGTTTCATTACTTGTTGCCTTTGGCAGGTTACATCATCTCCCTCTTCAGCATACTTTTCCCAGTGTAAAATGAAGGGGGTAGATAAATGGTTTCTAAGGTCCCTTCCTACTGTATGAGTGAGGAGCCAAATAGTTTTTGATTCTGTACAAAGGATGAAGTTCTGAATTTGGCAAACATTAATTGAGCACCTACTGTGTGCTGGTCCATTACTAGACACTGAGAATACAGTCTTGAATAAAACAAGCACATTTTTTGGCCTGTGGAGTTTATGGCATGGAATTTAAATATAAGAAAACATATGTTTATTTTAGAAAATCAGGGAAGGTTTGTCTAAGAAATACCTTTGAGTAGATCTGAAGGTTGAGTAATTGAAAAAGAGGGAGAGGCAGGAGTTACAGGCAGAAGCCTTGTTAAAGTCATAGAATAAAAAAGACTGAGGATCTCAGGGAATGCCAGCTGCCTTCTGCTCTGGAGTCAGCATAGCCCATGGGTGAGTGGTGCTGGTGAGGCTGAAGGGCTAGATAGTTTAAAGATTTAATTACTTGACCTCAGAGCAATGGGGTAGTCATCAAAGGGCCTAGGCAGATGAGTGGCCTGATGTACTTACCCTGAGCTAACCAGAATAATGGGCTGCCCTTTGAGATGCTCTGTGGGTTACTTGGCATGACCGGGAAGCCATGAACTCTCCAATTATGAGGCAATGATGGAGATCTCTCACTAGCTCTTCTCAGTGTAATACAAGTAATGGTTATTTTTTTTCCTCTCATTTCACACTTTACTATTATTTGTAACATTTCCCGAATCCCTAGAACAATGTACATACAGTAATTTTAAAAATTTATATTACCTTTCTTGATTACTTAGAACCAGTTGTACAGTCACAGGTTCTTGCTATATTATTTTCTTTCATTTTTACCTGGGAAACCAGTTCTTTTTGAGTCTCTGATAAAAGATTTGATGAGGTAGAGTCACCTGTAAATTTATTTTTTATATTCATAACTGGTGTGTTTAGTTTTGATCATATACATTTTGTGCCATATAGGGATCCACACCACCAATGACTGTGTTCAAGGGGAACAAACGGCCTTATCAGAAAGACTGTGTGCTTATTATTAATCATGACACTGGTGAATATGTGCTGGAAAAACTCAGTAGCAGCATTCAGGTCAAGAAAACAAGGTATGTGAATAACCAGATACAGAGTGATGTGAGTTTGCATTTGTATTATCTATTTGGTTATTTATAAGATTGTGAGTATCTGGGTATTCAGTATCCTATCAATAATCTCAATAACTCCACCTTTGTCTTCTCAGACAAATCCATAAAATATCTTCCTCAAATGTAGTAGAAAGAAATAATGCTTTTAAAACCTGAAAAGTGAAAGCCATTGGGTAAAGAGGTGTTCTTTATAAGTAAATTGATTTTATTAATCTCATGATTTTTGAAACAGTACCATTTAAGGGATAAAGCTTAAATTTATATACTTATAATTATGAAAGGATAATTGAATAATAGATATTCTTTATTAGTGTGAAAACATTCATTTTCTTAATGTTAAAGGGTTATTACATGCCAGGAACTGTGCTAGTTGCTTTATGGCAGTATCTTTTCTCATCTGTCAGTAATTCTTAGAAAGGTGTTGTTATTATCCTTAAAAACCACGTACACACAGACGAAGGGACCAAGGATAAGTGCAAGTGACTCACCTGAGACTGGTGCCACTGCTGCATAGCTGCTCGGTGTATTTGTACTCATTGCCTCCATGAACCAGGTGTCGCTGTGACTCCTCCAATGTGGTTGTGAGCATTTCTCTTACTACTCAGTGTCATCTGGGGACTAGCAGCATTTGTCACTTGGATACTTGCTGAAAGTGCAGAATTTCAGGACCTGATAAGAATCAACGTTTCAATGAGATCCCTAGATGGTTGTGTGCACACTAAAGTTTGAAAAGTACTAGGCTAGTCATTTACAAAAGAAATTGTTAATGGACAGAATTTTCTCAGTTTGGGGTGGAATACTTAGCTTATCTGCCAGCTAGGGCTGGTATGTGACAAAATAAGTAAGCAGTACATAGATACTGGAAAAATTTGCAAAGATTTCAAGAGCTAGTTTAATTTAGTAACTCATACACTTATTATTACTTTATAGTGTTTACAAGTCAAACAGTTGTGTTTTCTATTAAAACTAGGGGCTCAGTGCACGAATTCGTGCACCTTGAAAGGAACTGTGGGCCTCAAGGCTGCGGTGGGCGCAGGGGCAGGTCTCGGCCCATCCTCCATGCCCCCGCCCGGCCCCTCCCACTGCGGCCCCCAGTCCCCTGTCTGCTGGCAGTCCCGCTCCCACTGCCACCACTCCCAAGCGCTGATGGCGCATGCCCCGCTCACACCCACTAATGGCACGGAGAGATTGGGGCCGGTGCCAGCAGCGGGTGCAAGCGGGGCTGGCGGGGTCAGCAGGTGCGAGCGGCAGCTGCTGTCCTGATCGCCCCTCAGGAGCAGGGGGAGGTGGAGAAGCCCTCAAGGGTGATTGGGGCTGGCAGCTGCCACTCGCACCCGCTGACGGCGCCGAGCAATCGGGACCAGTGCCAAGTGGCGGCTCTGGCGCCGGCAGCAGATGCAAGCCGGGCCGGCACAGGCAGCAGGTGCGAGCGCTGGGCGGGACCCTGGCTCACGGGAGCAAAGAATTTTCAGTAACCACCAGAGGCTCACCCTGATGACAGCAACTGCTGCCCCACCTTGGTCTGGCACCCCCACTCACCTGCTCCACCATCCCACCACCGCTGACACCCGCCATGTTCCACACTCTGCCACCTGCTGCCAACACCTGCCATGTTTCGCGCATGCCCCCTAGTGGTCAGCGCACGTCATAGTGACCAGTTCAGTTGTTCCGCTGTTCGGTCTATTTGCATATTAGGGTTTTATATATATAGATGGGTTCTTGCCCTAGCCAGTTTGGCTCAGTGGATAGAGCATCGGCCTGCAGACTGAAGGGTCCTGGGTTTGATTCCGGTCAAGGGCACATGCCCAGGTTGTGGACTCGATCCCCAGGAGGGGGCATGCACGATGCAGCCAATCAGTGATTCTCTCTCATCATTGATGTTTCTATTTCTCTCCCCCTCTTCCTCTCTGAAATCAATAAAAAATATATTTTAAAAAATGGGTTCTTACAATCACACTGTAGTCTCATTTCTGTTTTATCTGCTTCTTGCTATAAAACGTGAACTCCTGAGGGCAGTGGGTCTATTGTATTCATCTCTGTATCTCTGGTGCATAATACAGTACTAGAATACAGTAGATCAGTGATGGCGAACCTATGACACGCGTGTCAGAGGTGACACGCGAACTCATTGTTTTGGTTGGTTTTTCTTTGTTAAATGGCATTTAAATATATAAAATAAATATCAAAAATATAAGACTTTGTTTTACTATGGTTGCAAATATCAAAAAATTTCTATATGTGACACAGCACTAGAGTTAAGTTAGGGTTTTTCAAAATGCTGACACGCCGAGCTCAAAAGGTTCGCCATCACTGCAATAGATGGTTGTTGAATGATTAGTTCATGTGATAAAATTATAAACAGCAACATTTTGCAGCAATCTAAAAATCATGGAATTCTGTAGAGACTTCTAGTGGTCAGCCACCTGGACCAATTTGAGAACCACTGGCTTTTTCCCTCTGGTTTAATGTCTGCATCTCATTTCAGGGCTGAGGGGAGCAGTAAAATCCAAGCCCGAATGGAACAGCAGCCCACTCGTCCCCCACAGCCAACACAGCCATCACAGCCATCACAGCCGCCTCCGCCCCCACCACCTATGCCATTCAGAGCTCCAACAAAGCCTCCAGTTGGACCCAAAACTTCGCCCTTGAAAGATAACCCTTCACCTGAACCTCAGCTGGATGACATCAAAAGAGGTAGAGAGCAGTTTTTGGAGGAACGATAGCAACTTGTAGTATGGTGATGTTTCTGTGGAGAGCACAAGGCTGAATATTGACATGATGGTGTGGGCATTCTCTGCCATTGACAGTTTCTGCAGACTTCACTATTCCAGAGTGATGAGGGTGGGGGCTTTCTCACTTACCTCGTTTGACAGGGGGCGTCCAGGCAGAGTGACTTGAGTTGTGGCTATCTTCACAGCATTCTGCTGAGAGGCCCAGGATTTAAACAAGCGAAGGGCCTATGGCACACCTTCAAGGCTTTGGAAGAAGAAAATTCCAAGGTGCTAGGGGTGAAAGCCAGGTGTGCCAGTGTTAGTATAGTATCTAGCTTAGAGGGACATTAAAGTTCCCGTGACCAATACTTTCTACTAACATCAAGTTTACACATATGAAAGCACCATGAGGACCAGTGGAAATGGACAGTGGCCTAAAAAGATTAGAGGTCTGGTGAGGCTCTCTCCATTACATACCTGAGAAAGAAGCTTGCTTACCTTTCTTTCTCTTCTGTGCAATGGATCTCATTAGTTGTTCAGACTCTTGGGAAGTTATGAGGGTAAGTGGCGTATTTTATGAAACAAAATTAAATAGATAACAGTAGTAAACAGGGAAAGAGAGAGTTGTCCTTGGGAGGCTTGCCTTTTCCACCTTAGAGAGGAGCTCTCTTAGCAAAACAAAGTCAGTCTTTGCATGGTGCATAAGTGGTTAAGCCACTTGATTTTTTTTCCCCTTATGAATATTGGAATGTCATTTATGGGAGTTTTCACTTTAGTTGAACAGGAATTGTTCCCAGTTATTCTTAAAGGAACCATAGCCGTTTAAGGCCACATGGTATGTTTGGGCAGGAAAATCTATTCTATATCCTTAATGTATTCAGTGACATTGACATGTTGGGTAAAACATGTTTTTCCTTCCCTGCTTTATATCTGTAAAAAATGCAGTACCTGACAGGCAGGACTGCCAGTCAGATACAGAAAGAGGGCAGAGGAGGAATGTTCCACCATGTGTCTTCAGTCACCATGGTTCCTCCTGCAAGCTTCCGTTTATTCGTGGGACATAAAAACTGGAAAGCACCCCAGATGCTGTCTGTCTGGCCCTGCATTTTTCCCGAGGGTCTTGGAAAATTCATTGGCTTCCACTGGGTCTCCCTGCTGGTTAGATCCAAAACAAGCACTCAGACCTTCCAGTTACTAGTTAAATATTTTTCAATCCCTTAGCATAAGGGGTGTGCAGAAGGCTCTTATTTGGTGTTTAAATATATAATTCACAATTTTTTTCTTAGTAAAGACAAAATAGAACAGTCATCATCCTGAAGCAGTTTGCTTTTTGGTTATTTGGAGTGAATTTAATGTTTTCATTGTCTCTCTGAAGACAGGTTAGGTATTTTTGTTTAGGTCATTTTGTTTGTACATTTAGGAGTTCATTTAAGTTATTCCTCATTGCTGTTGGTTTTGCAGATTTACTATTTACAGAAGTGCTGCCTTGAGAATGGTTGTTGTGTTGACACTTGTGCCGTTTTATTCCAGAGCTGAGGGCTGAAGTGGACATTATTGAGCAGATGAGCAGCAGCAGTGGGAGCAGTTCCTCAGACTCTGAGAGCTCCTCGGGAAGCGATGACGACAGCTCCAGCAGCGGAGGCGAGGACAACGGCCCTACCTCTCCTCCCCAGCCTGCACACCAGCAGCCCTACAACAGCAGGCCGGCCCTTGTCAATGGAACCGGCCGGCCACAGGGGAGCAACCAGCTCATGAACACCCTCAGTAAGTGTGCTTTCCCTTTTCTGGCCGGGACGGTGGCCTGTCAGGCCAGAGATGCAGCTTCTATTTATCTTAGGTCAGAATCTATAAGCCTGGAGATATTTAAAGTGTAAGAAAGGATCCTGACAAAGATAATTCTGAACAGAAAGGAATAAATTACCAAATAGTAAAAAAAGAAGCACTAAATAAAAAAATATTTAGTAAGAAGGTAACTGCTTTAAAATTTTGCAAATCTGCCCTAACCGGTTTTGCTCAGTGGATAGAGCGTCGGTTTGTGGACTGAAAGGTCCCAGGTTCGATTCTGGTCAAGGGAATGTACCTTGGTTGTGGGCACATTCCCAATAGGAGGTGTGCAGGAGGCAGCTGATCAATGTTTCTCTCTCATCGATGTTTCTAACTCTCTATCCCTCTCCCTTCCTCTCTGTAAAAAAATCAATAAAATATATATATTTTTTAAAAAATTTTGCAAATCTGCCCTAGCCGGTTTGGCTCAGTGGGTAGAGTGTCGGCCTGAGGACTGAAGGGTCCTGGGTTCGATTCCGGTCAAGGGCACATGCCCGGGTTGCGGGCTCGATCCCCAGTAGGGGGTGTGCAGGAGGCAGCTGATCAATGATTCTCTCATTGATGTTTCTATCTCTCCCTCTCTGAAATCAATAAAAATATATTTTTAAAAAAATTTGCTAATCTCTTTAATGCGTGGCTTAGTAGAAAGATGGCTGCATCCACTCTGTGGCCATTAGTTGTGTAGGTTGAAGTATGTGAAAAAAATCTGACATTAGGTGTGTAGTTAGAAAAAGAAGGACCCCAGGGTCCTCAGAACAAACTTGGAGGAGAGGTGGCTTAGAGATTAGCAATCCAGAAACACAGAAGTTCACTTTTGTTGTAATCCAATCAGTATCAACTGGGCAGCTGTTATTCTCAGATGGAAATGTTGAGTGCTTATATAAATCTAAATTTTGCACACCAAACACAAATGTGAGGCTTTACAACACTCATTAGTTAAGGTTTCAGGTTTAAAGTAACATGAATATCCTGGACAGAGGTGTACCAGAGGGGAATTGGATTAGCATGTTGTAGGTATAAAAAGTATTTCGCTTCCTTACTAGGAAACCTAATTTGGTATTGGCTTTTATAAAGCAACTTAATGTGAAAAATTCTAGACAGTGAGTCAGTTATTTAGAAATACAATATTTCCTTACTATTTATTAACACATTTAAAAGCTGTCTAGCCTACTCCTCCTCTGTTCTATCTCAGTAAGCAGAATTGTTTTGCAGATACCACAAATAACATTTCTTTCAAAATGTTGACTGCACCTGTTTTGTCACTGAGCTAAATCAAATTGGCTTGGTTTTGCTAGAGTGTGATAGCAAGGGCAATCAACCAGAGAAATGTGGGAAAGTCATTTTTAAATTGTGTACTTTTGGTTTGATTCTGTTTTCTTTTTATAGGAAATGACTTGCAGTTGAGTGAATCTGGGAGTGACAGTGATGACTAGAGCTGGATCTTTCTAAATCAACTTTTTGGTGCACAAATATACTGCAAGACCGGCTACTTTTGCATGGAATCCATTGACAAGAGAAAATGCTGTGGATCAGTGACTGTAGTAGAAATTCGAGGCCCTAAAGCTCTCAGATATTCAAGTCTTTAACTTAATGGTGATGGGTGACTTTCTTGTGTAATTATTTGAACAATCTCATGTTTCAAGGTTTAAGTAGATCGATAGAAGAACTAACAATTATGTTTCTATCTGGTTGAAAAACAGGCAAATGTGGCCTGGTCTAGGTTACTCAAAGGCCATATCTTCACCAGGCTAGTGATTCTGTTTTAAACCCTGGCAGCCACCAGTGTGGCCAAGTGGTCTGCACCAGTGAAATGAGAAACAGTCTTTGAGGGATAGGAGAGAAGGGGAAACCTCAGACTGCCACATAGAAGTATGTTAAAACCACTTGAAATGCGGAAACAAAGTGGTAAGAAAGTTTTGTGTGACAGCCTGGCAAGCCTGTGAAGAAACGGACTTCAAGGTGGAGTCCTCAGGTGTCAGCTGGGCGGGACCCTAGAGCCCTGGCAGTTCAACCCCCTCATTTACAAATAAGGAAAGGGAAGCACTCAGCTGGTTTAGCCTCCTGCCCCCAGTCCAGGCTTTTCCCACTGTTCCCTCCCTTGAGTCTCATTTGTTAGAACCAGAGGTTCTCATATGTGAGACTTACAGATGTACATAGGAATTTGTAGTGGATTCCAAAAGACAAGTGTTGTGTACTTCTAGCTCAAATTCAGATCCAGACAGTCCCTAAATGCAGGAGGCTTGGTTAGCAGATTAAACCAGCAGCCACTGTACTGACACATGACCCAGTTAATTTGGGGCTTTTACTTCTGAGTAGATCCATATTAAGTGTTCCTCATTCAGGGGATTGTAGTGGGGGAGGCAGGAGTAGAAGAGAGGTGTAGTGAGGAAACCTTTTTTTTTTATATATATATATATATTTTTTATTGATTTTTTACAGAGAGGAAGGGAGAGAGATAGAGAGCCAGAAACATCGATGAGAGAGAAACATCGATCAGCTTCCTCCTGCACACCTCCCACTAGGGATGTGCGCGCAACCAAGGTTACATGCCCTTGACCGGAATCGAACCTGGGACCTCTCAGTCCGCAGGCCGACGCTCCATCCACTGAGCCAAACCGGTCTCGGCATGGAAACCTTTCTAAACAAATGAACCAGCAGCAGGTTTTCAGAAACCAGAATCTAAATAGGAGTTCTGCAATATGAAATGAGCACATTCTTTTGATAAGGTGTCTCTGTTCGTGCTTTTGTACCACTGTTTGTGCCTGATTGCCAGACTGATTTGTAGTTTTTATATACAGGTAGAAGAAAGTCACAAGGTTGCCTTCTGCAGTGTGCAGTTTCCAAGTGAATCTGTTGTTGAGGAAACTGGTCACTAGTAAATGTTTCATATTGAGTGAATGTGCGATAAATTGTCCCATAATTAGTTTGCAGTGTCCCATTTCTGTAATTTGAATGAATATGTCCGGAGAAATTTCCATCTACTTTGGTTTAGCAGGTTATCAGTAACATTAAATATGATTTTCCTTCCTGGGATCCCTCCACTCAGATGGCCTCTCCTTCCCCAGCTAGGGGAGGGATGCAATCTTGACCTAGAAGGGAATTAGATGATCCAAGGTGGTGACCATGGTTAGAGTTGAGCCTTATGGGTCCCCTGTTTTAACTGCATAGTGATCCCAGTGAGCTGGAGATGTGGACCAGCAGTCACTGTCCAACAGCACGCTCATACCATTCTACCAAGTGTAGGTAATAGGTCCACACTTGTACCCTGTGGTGGGTTCTCAGCCCATCAGGAGGTGTCAGTGGGTTTAATGGCATGTAGGAACTTATTTATAATGAATTGGTAATTGTTTTATATGTCCTTAGTAATGACAGCTCAGGGAGGGCGAAGGTCATGATTGGGAGACATGAATTGTTACTGGATGTAGGAATGTTTCACTGCTCTTGACTTCCTCAAGCTGGGGCAGGTTTCAGGAACTTGAACTAAAAATATCTATTTAAGCCCCCCCCCCCCCCGAAGTCTTCACATACATAGACAGAACTATGGTTTGGGCATGTCAGATAAAGATGTTTGTTCTATAGGAAATGCTTGCATGTGGCGCTGGGTTGGCGAGTCAAGCTTTCTGAGCTTCAGGCTCTCCTGTCACCCATCGTCCCGACACGCATGGTCAATCTCTAGCCTGGCTCCAGTTTGGTTCTCTGCACAAAGCCCTCGGTGATTCCCTCCCCCGCCCTCCAGCTTTACCCACCACAGTAAAGAATCTTTTGTTTTTGGAAATAAAAAAATTGGCCTTACAGACTACTCACGAGTACCCTCATGCCAGGCAAACTGGTCTTGTTCTTCCTGCCTCTGTGCCTTCTCAGTCTCTCCTCCTCCTCTTCCCCAAACCTGACTCCTGAGGTGCCATCTCCTACAGGTGCCATTTTCATGGACCTTTCCTCTGTTCTTTTCAACCAGCTGGAGTGCTGGGTCCATACTGACTTCCTTGCTCGAGCTCTGCTTAGTGTGAACTCCTTAAAGGCAGGGACCGTCATTCTCATCTCCATCCTCTGGGACGTCCACAGGCATAGACAGTCAGATGCTTATAGCTGGTGGGGAGGAGGCAGAGAGAACCAACAAGTACAGTAGAAAGGGTAGATATAGAGAAAACATTCCAGGCATTTGGAGAAAGCTGAAAACTATCCATGCTGATTTTCATCATTTTGAAGTTTCTAACTGAATTGTTAAAATTACCTTCTCTTTGTTCGATGTCTACCGTACTGTGGGTCATTAGGTAAGGTGTAAAGACTTAAGTCCGAATTATCTGAGGAGCCACAGTAAAGACATGATTTGGAAAAACTTAATACAGAGAAACTAGATATTTGTAATGATGCCACTCATTAACCATTTTATTTCTGTAGCAGGATCATTCTTTCTATGTGTGGTATTATATGTATGTGCTTCAGTAGTGGGAAAACTTGAAATTCCAAAATCCTTCCCTATTCAAGAGGCTGGTTAAGTAGGAATTGCGTGGGTGTGTGTATGTGTGATGTATTTATTACATTATTTTGAAAGAGTAATACTATGGTATGTGGATATATATTAAGTACAGCCAAATTGGACATTTCCATTTGGCAAGGAAGGTAGGATTTCTGAAACTCAGGCCTTAACCAGTAGGTTGGAAGACAAGACCAATTGAAGCTTTATGAAATGTGTGTTTTTGTTGCTCCTGTTATTTCTGTCTTGGGTTTGTTGTCTCATTCTTTAATGTTTTTAAAATTTTGTGCTTAAAAGTTTATTTTGCTTAATTATGAAGTAGACGTGCATGTTTACATTTATGTAAAATATTTGCTGTGTAAAGTTTTGTTGTTGTTTATTCTCTTAAAAGATCACTATATTTAAGTAAAAATGAAGGTCAGCAATACGCTTCTTGTCCTTGTGGGTTTTATTTTCTTAATAGAAATTATGCAAAATGTACGGTTCTTTTAAGAATCCTTTGTGCTTAACCCTGATTATCTAAATTGATTCCTCAGTTTGGTGTTATGCTTATTAGGACGTACACCTCAGTTTTAAAAGGTAAGTTCAGAACTAAAGGATGACTTTAGTAAGCCACATGGCACTTGAGGCCATTTCAGTTGGTCTGAAAAGGCAGGCTTAGTTTTGGGTCTGAGAACCATGTAAGGGTGCAACTGCAACTGAATCCCTAGGTGTATCCTAGTATTAGCTCACCAGACTCCTTCCCTGGAATTGACACTCGATGGCTGGAAGGGACCCTGCCTCCTGCTTCCATTCCACATTTGTTACCAACAGTGCCCACATCTGTCTTGCGGTCTTGGCTTCCCTGATAGACTGCAAACTCCTTGGTGGGCCATGGCCACATTCCTTTTTAATTCTGTGGTGTCTTGCACCTAATGGGTGCTCAATAAATTTAGATTAAATATAATTACACATCAAGAGATCTAGGCCAGGAATCCTTTGCTGCTTATTCTGCAAATGGCTCCCATTTCCTCAGGTGGAAATAGGAGTTCGACTTGAGCCAGGTCTCAGTGGGGAAGTGGGGGTGTACATTCATCACCTAAGAGTTTAATGCTCTTTTAACTGTTGTCACTATAATCATAAACCCCAAACTCCATGGCTTAAAATAATATGCATTTATTTTGCTCACGAGTCTTGATTGGCGATTTAAACTGGGTGGCTGGACAGTTTTGGTCTTGCTTGGGCACCTTCTTGTGGCTGGTAGTTGACAGGTTCAGCTGATCTAAGATGGCCTTGGCGCAACTCGGGCAGGTTAGCTCCATGTGTCTTGTCCTCTAGCATCTTAGCCTGGGCATATTGTCATGGCAAAGGCAGAGCTGCTAGAGAGGAAACAACTGCCACTGTCACAGTTATTGACATGTCATTGGCCAAAGCAAGTGAAGTGACAGGGCCAAGTTCAGAATCAAGGGGTGGGGAGCACACTCCAGTTGGAGGAGTTGCAGAGTACACTGGAGAGGCGGGGTGGGGGGTGAACATTGGGGAAATTATTGCAATCGATCTACTACCTTCACATACCCCACGTCTCCACCATGGTTGAGAACCCTGGGCCATATCATCACTAAGGAGGCCCCTCCTAGCTCTGGCTTTTCTCACCAGATAAAAGTCCCAAAATGGGAGGTAAAACATTTCTATTCATGGCTCCTGCAGAGGGCGCCAAACCGAAGTCAGAGGCTTCTCTAGGCTTGGCACTTCCTTGCATGTAGTTCTCTCCCCTTTCTAACCTAGAGCAGTACTATGGTCATCTATGGCCTAGTAACAAACTATCCTAAAACTTAGTGGCTTAAAACAATCATTTTATCTCATGCAATCTGTTGGTTAGTAATACGGACAGAACTTGGCTGGGCAATTCTGCTCTGTGGCTTCAACTGAGGTCACGCAGTGGTATTCAGTTGGCAGATGGGCAGGACTGGAGAGTCCAGACTGGTTTCACTCACATGTCTGGCACATGGTGGGCATGGCTGGAAGCAGGCTCATTTGAGACCGTCATCCAAAGGGGCTTGCACAGCTCTCTAGCAGGGCAGTCTCAGGATAGTCGACAGGATGCTGCCTTCCCCTAGAATGAGTGTTCTGAGAAGCTGTATGGCCTTTTATGACCTAGCTTGAGAATTCACACAGCATCATCTCCACAGTATTCTATATGTCAAAGCAGTCAAAAGCCCACCTAGATTCAAGAGGAAGGGACACAGACACCCCTCCAGCCCCCTTTAATGGAAGAGTATTAAAAAGCCACCCACCCAAAGTCCTCACCTTTCCTCCCTGTGTTTTTGGCCTAGTCTTCTGCAGTTGTTCTCAGATGAGCCATATCCCTAGAGCAGTGGCTCTTAAAATGTGGTCCCTGGTCCATCAGCATCCTCTGGGACCTTGTTAGAAATGTAAATTCTCAGGCCCCACCCAGACCTGCTGAATCAGAAACTCTAGAGTAGGACCCCGTGATGTTTTAACATGCCCTTCAGGTCATTCTGACAGACCCTAATTGAGAACTGCTGATTCAGGACAATCCCTTGGTGAACCTCAGGCGATGACCCATTACCACCATGCCTGCATTTAACTTCCCATCTAGCGGTTGGATTGAGTATAACCTGGGCAGGGTATGCAGTAGATTGTGGTCCTGTTCGTGGGTTGGAACATCAAAGACAAGAAAATTCATCATTGACTTTGAAGAAACTACAGGGGCCCAAATAACCACAAATGAAATTCACTTGAGATACTAATGTTCCTGCAGCAGAATTTCAGTGTTACATGGGCCCCTTTTCATATCTATAAAAGGAGTGGGACAAGGGGGAAAGGGCAGGGAAATAGCTGATTTCTTTCTTAGGAGGGTTGTTTCTTGTAGACTTATCTGATTAAAAGTCAAGTGTATGGGACTGAAAACAAGCAGGTGAATCCCCAGAGAGAACCCCTCTGATAAAGCACTGTGAGTTCTTTTTCTGTATTTCAGGGGGGTTGGATGAGATGGTGGGGACTCTTCAACCCATTACTTTTGTGTGATTTGCAACCCTCTCAGAATGTTACAAATGAAGGTGAGGGAGAAGAAAGACACTCCTGGAGCTTCTGAGTGGTAACTCTGGGTTGCTCAAGTGTAACAATCTCCTCGAACTAGAGGCCTGGTGCACAAATTCGTGCACGGGTGGGGTCCCTCGGCCTGGCTCTTGATTGGGGCGATCTGCAGGGCAACTGGTGGGGCGATCGGGAGGCCCCTGCTGGCACCCACCTAGGCTGGCCTGGCGCCACCTGCTCGCCGGCCCAGCCCCCCACTGCCGTCGCCAGTCACCTCCCTCTGCGGGGTGCCTGGCGGGGCGATCGGAGGGGCCCCCACTGGCACCCACCTTGGCTGGCCTGGCACTGCCCGCTTGCTGGCCCCGCCCCCTGCCACCAACGCTGGGGGCAGCTCCTGCGTTGAGCGTCTGCCCCCTGGTGGTCAGTATGCATCATAGCGACCAGTCGTTCTGCTGGTCAGTCGATTTGTATATTAGGCTTTTATTATATAAGATAATTAAACATATTAGTGCCCTCCAAGGTGTGAGACCCAGGGCAGGGATCCTCTCAGCCAGGCCCAAGACAGTATTGGATCTCCACCATCTGAAACAAGGTCATAATACAAGGCTGGGGTGGGGCTGGGCTAGCAAGACTACTTTGTGACCTCTGCACCCCAGTTTCCTCCCTTGTCCCTGAGGGAGCGGGACTGCTTCTAAGCTCTAGAACCTTCTGCAGTCTGGAAAAAAGAGTTGAACTCAGACCCCTCATTCCACCTGGCAATGCTGGACACTTTCCAAACTCCCAGGGAAGACAGAGCCACAGCAGGGAAAGGAACTGCCTTTCTTTCTTTCTTTTTCTTTTTGCCTTTATTTCTTGATTTCCCACCGGAGATCCCAGTATGAAGGTGGTGGCTTTACATGGGAGCAACATCACCCCAGGACATGGGGTAGAGGCTGAGGAAACCAGGCTGACCGATGTGCCCACCACAAATGACACCTCCCTTGGGCCGACCCCGTCTACTGTAGTATGATGGCCTGTTGGACCAGACGCTCCTGTCTGCTGAGTCACCAAGACTTAGCCACAGGAAATAGCTTTGAACAAAAGCCTAGGATGTCCCTGCATCTGGTAACAAATGGGCAAATCCCATTTGAGGTCTGCCATGCGGAGATGTCTTTCCAAAACAAAGCTGGGGCCCCACTCAGGAAAGCCAGTGATGAAAGGCAGCTCACAGACGTGCAGGCTGATGATCCTGTGGACACCTGTGGGGCTCGGGCACACAGACATGAGGACCAGGCTACGCACTATGACGACATGGGGGTCACAAGAGTCAGCAGGCAGCCAGCAGTCGGAGCTCAGGACAGAAACTGTCTTTGCCTAGAAGTGGTTGGGTCCCAGATGGGAAACCCCAGGTGGGGGGCTCCTCAGCTCTGCCTGGGCATGAACTTTGCTTGAGAATCTCCTGAGCCAGAAATGGACATGAGGGGCATTTGTGAGATGGAAGTCAAACTGCAGAGAGCCACGAGGTCAAGATGGAGCCTGGAGTGGTGAGACCATGAGAGCCGCCCTTGGGGAAACATGGAAAAGTGGAAGGCCACTACTCACTACTCTCTGCTCATAGGCACCCCAGCTGAGCCTCACCCTCTAACCAGACAGAGCATGGGTTTGAGGCTTTCTCAGTACTTCTTCATGGTTGGGTCTCTTGTTAGGGGAGCCGTGTCCACATGAGGCTGTTCTGGGCTGTGGGTAGTTGAGGAGTCCCTCAGTGGGTCTAGAGCTGGGAGCTACCCCGAGAGAAGGGGTCCCCTTTCCTGCTGTGTGGTTCACTGGCCTGGAGAGAGCTGGAGGCTGGCTTCCCTGGTGAGATGCCCAGGCTTCCAGAAGTCAGAGGGGCAGAGGCCTATATCCCAGGTGCCCCCACCGGGATGCGAGCAAACAGCCTGCAGGTCTATGTGTGTCTAACAGTGCTAAGCCAGTCCAGGGCCTGGTCGGCCATACTCCAGAAGACAGTGGACACTGTCGGTCGGCTACCAGCCCAGTGGGAGCCTGGGCCTCCCCAGGCTGGGCATGTGGGAGGTCTTCCAATACTTTGGATTAAGACAGGATGCAGTGGTCCTGAGTTCTTCCCGTCAGACTGAGTTAAAAGCACATCTTAGCAGCAAGAGTTTGACCTTGTTTTTGTTGAATGAAGGTGGTGGAAACTGGACCAGGACGGTACGAGGTCAGTTGAATGAGGGTGGAGACGCTGCTGCAGGTACGTGCGATGCAGCCACCTCCTGGCGTCCTCAGGTGAAGTAGCGGCAGGGTGTGGAGTCGATGTAGCAGTACGGGGTGCACTGCAGGTCCCCATATGACCTGAGGAGGCAGATACAGGTCAGGGTGGACACCAGGCAGTGGGCAGGAGAGGTCCTGCCA